TTAGGAAGGGATTAATTGGGTTTCCTCACTTGTGAAGTTGGGAGACTGTAAGCCACCCATCTTCAAAAGTCAAGACCATATATGGGAAAGGCCCAAGTTCATGATACAGGTGGCTCCGTATGTAAGTTCCCTGAACCTTTTGTAGAATAACACAGAGGCGGGGCCTTCAGGAAGGGATTAGGTCATGAGAGTGAATGGGACTGGTGCCTTTATAAGAAGACCACAGGAAGACTTGCTCTTCTCTCTGCTCTATGACGTGTGAGGAAACATCGAGAAGATGGCCTTTGAAAACCAGGTAGCAGGCCCTGACAGACAATGGATCCGCCAGTATCTTGATCTCGGACTTTCCAAACAAATGCTTGACATTTACAAAACCTCCCAGTGTATATTATTATTATTGGACACAATACCTTTATTTTATTTATTTATTTACTTATTTTTATATTGGTGCTGAGGATTAAACCCAGTGTCTCACACATGTTAGGCAAACACTCCATCACTGAGCTACAACCTCAGCCCCTAGTTTATAGTATTTTTGATACAGCAGACTGAAATGACTAAGAGAGCAGGGTGAGATGATGAAGAGCAGCTGGTGGAAGACAGGGGAATATCACAGGATATTTAAGGAAGGCTTCTCTGAAAAGTCAACATGGAACCTGAGATTAGAAAGACAACAATGGAACCAGTCATCTTTCTTCAAGTAGGAACAAACCTGATATTTGGGAAGCACAAAGAGAAAGTCAGGGGTACTATAAGCAACACAGTGCAGGAGATGAGGTTCTGATCTGCAGAACCAGATCAAGGACTCTGCAGCCCACAAAAGACATCTGGAGTTTATTCTCATTGTGACAGGAAGCCATTAGAGCATTCATGGCCAGAGTCAATGAATTAGATTTACTTAAGAGCTGGACATAGGCGCGATCCTGAGATACTAGTGAAATGTAAAAAGTCTGCCTGGTTAGAAAGAAGGCTGCTTATTAGAGGATCATGTAGGTTAAGATGATCATAGCGTGGTCCAGAAATGGAGTTAACTGGAGTGATAGAGAGGACAGATATCCTAAAATTGCTGCTCCCTCAGGATATTAGTATTTTGCTGTAGCCATTAAATGGGCTCACGAAGAGAAGGGCCAGCAAGGTACAGGCACAGAGAAGACCCTCAGGAAACCAGGGTTCCTTTTCATGTTTTCTCCCTTCTCCTTTGTATTGAAAGGAGTAGTGCTGGTGAAATTCCCAAAGATGAGTGAAAAGTCAGCAAATAGAAAATGTGGGGAAGAAGGAGATACAAATGTGCAGCCATGGGTGCAACCACACCTTTGACCCTCTGCATATTTCGTGCTCCACTTTAGAGCTGTAGAAACATAAGCAGACCTTCCCCTTAGGCCCCCCAAGAGAACTGCAAAATCAGGTTGGTGGAAACAAGCCTTCAGTATTACATTATACAACTGGCTGCTTATGAAACTGAAACATTCTGTTACTAACACAAGTGGTAAAATATGAGATAGTTTAGTAAGTGTTTTAGGTCAGAGAATCATGAACAAACTATCTCTAATGAATAAACACAGCTAAATTATTTGAAGGGCATGACAATCACCATCATTTTCATTTAACCAACAAACCAATAGTGCATTCAAAACTATATCTCTATGAGTTTCATTCCAAAATAGTTTGGCCAAAGGCATCTTCTAACAGTTTGAGAGCTATCTTAACCAAATGGAAGACTCCATTTGAGTGTTTCTCTTAAGTGATAAAATGATATGTTAAATAATTGAAACAAAATTAGCCCTCTGCAAGATTAGAAATTTAATATGCTGATTTGTTTTATTAATTTCCAAGAAGGAGATGAAGTGTGTGCAGTTTAAAATGGTTTTAAGTTGGATGAGGAGGCACACACCTGTTGTCAAGAGCCATGGTGGACTATGTATGGACCAAAACTGGCATTGTAGTCAGTGAATAGGAAGGTCTGGTATCTGGAAACTTCCAGTGGCACTTGTGCTGGTTAAGACAGCCCAGATACATATGTGTTCTATTCAGCTCCGCCAGGTTCCATACAGCACCAGAGATGGGGTGACCTGCGGCAGCCACCTAGCCACACAGACTCCCAGAAATAGGTGCGGCTTCCCAAGATGCCAATCAAGCTGTCCACTGCAAGACACCAAAAAGAAAGACTCTACCCACTGAAACCTATCCCCGCCTTTGATGCTCTCCCTTAAATAAAGAATCAGAGCCATTTTCTAACTGTTCTGTTCCAGCTTCCACCAGGACTGGGAGAACCCATCTGGCGCTCCCTTAAAACTAATTTTGACTTTGTCTTATTTCTTCACTAATTATTTCAGACTTTAATTCTCCTGTGGCTTATTCCTTCCTGTTCAGTAAGAATTACCCTGTCAAGGTGCTGGCTGCTTTGTGTTAGCCTATAATCCTAGCAACTCCAGATGCTGAGGCTAGAGGATCAGAAGTTCAAATTCAGCCTTGGCAACTTGGAGAGACCCTGTCTCAAAATTTTAAAAAATTTAAAAGAAGAGCTGGGGATATGGATCAGTGGTACAGCACCCCTGGATTCCATTCCCAGTACTGCAAATAAAATAAAATGCGATAGAATACAAATAAAGCTACTTTTAAGTAGAGAAGCTCAGGATAGAACATTCTGCTGAATAAGAGAGCTATATTATGCAATTGCAGAAGAGCTGCTCTGATGAATTCTATACAGCTCCAGGATATAGGAAAACCATTATAAACTTCCAAGGAAAATAAAAATATAACCATATGATGTATTAGTTTATAAAATAAAAAATACATATATCAGGAAACCCATTTATCCAGGTACATACAGCAAATAGTTAATTAACTGACATGTCAATTATGCATGTTAATTGACAGAGATGAACTAGAATCAATTAAATTCCCTATACACTTGGCTAGGCAAAGCAAGTTCTTCAGTTGCAATATAAATCTACTGTTTTCCTCAAAGGAAATGTGCTTAAAGCCAAGTCCTCACGTGAATGAATGCACGCTCAGCACCGAAGCTCTCTGCCAAAATCATCCATACTGGGTACTTTACTGTGGAAATAAAATGTAAGATCCTTCCCACAGCCAAGAGTTCCATTAGAAAATGAGAAATTCAGCCTCGGCACAGTCACAAGTGCTTGCCCTTTATGTTCCTAGCCAACTTTCCTGCTGAGTTTCTTTGGTGCTGTGCCTGCTGTGGTATACTGAGAAGGTAGGGAAGGTCTTCTGAGGATTCCACAGCTGCCATGGGGCACAGGGCACAGCAGGACTGTGCCTCCCCCATTCGGACAAGGTCGTGAAATCAGGGTGCAGGGCCAGCACCTGATCACACCAGCCTGATTACCTAGACTGGCACTAAAGGTGAAGCTCTTTGCTCCCCCTTTTCCCCCAGGGTGTACACCAACGCCAGAGGGCACATGCTGGAAACCAGACAGGTGGAGAATCCAATCACACCTGTTGCTGCACCAGAAAAAGCCTGATGGGAGAGGATGAAGGCACTGATGAGTGAATGGTGAGAGTGATCTACAGCTTTCCAGCTTGCTGAACCCTCCCATGTCCCCGATAACTGAGATCAATATGCCCTGGGAAATGTTTCACAGATGACAGAACAAAACTGTGCTAGATAAAGGTGTTTCGAAGCTCTGAGAAAAAAAAAAAATCAATGCTTTCAATATTCTCTTTCATTTCTGTTATAAAGACAATGTATTTCCATATATGCATACGAGAAGTCTAGAAAAATAAAAATCAAAATGTAAATGGTACTACTCCACCGGGTGCTAATTATACATCCAGAAGGCTGCTTTTAGAATGTTATATAGTTGTCATTTCTGGATTAAGAAAGATGATAGGCAATTTCAACTTTTTTTAGGCTTGTCTGTGTTTTTCAAATTTTCTTGGGCACACATCATTTTAATACCAAACAATATGTAAAATTATTGCCAGAAAATCTTTCAATTCATTCAATATTGAATTGATATTTGTGTAGCTGTTTGTACTTTATCAAGTATGTCCACATATATAATCCATAAAAGAGTTAAGGGAAAGATTAATGCCATTTCAGAGAAGAGGAAATAGGTTCTGAGATGTCACCAAACTTGCTCAAAAAGCCAGTAACTAGCAGAATCAAGATATGAATATTGTTCTCTTCAAATTCCATGAATTTTTTTCTCAATATGTGCTCATTAGGGTCTGGTATGGTCTACTGATGGCATATAATCCACAGAATAGACCTTGTCTACAACACAAACAGCAGATTTTGATATGAGATTTAAGCAAAAAGAAATATATGTTTATGTAAATATATATAAATAAATAAACACACTTGAGTATGGTGGTGCATACCTATAATCCTAGCGGCTAGAGAGGCTGAGACAGGAGGATCACAAGTTCAAAGCCAGCCTCAGCAACTTAGCGAGTTGCTAAGCAACTTAGTGAGACCCTGTCTCTAAATAAGATACAAAATAGGGCTGGGGGTGTGGCTCAGTGATTGAGTGCCCCTGAGTTCAATCCCCAGCATCCCTCCCCACTGAGAAAAAAAAATTAAAATTAAAATATATATATATATTTTTTTCCTCTCTTCTAAATTCAGCATTAAGAAGAGAAATGTGGAAAAAAAAAAAGAAAGAAAAACAATGAGAGTTTGGAGAATATAAAGCAGAGGCAGGAAGTGGACAAACCTTCTTCTCTGGTTGCTGCATGATATGCTCTTATCTTCATCTCGACCCCATTCAGAAAGGGAAAAGAAAATTTGACAAAAATGGAACAAAAACACTTAGGGAGAGAAAGTACACATGGCATCAAATAATTAAATAAGGCTGGAAGTGTTCACACTGGGCTGTTAAAGGAGAGGGAAGACCCGGGACAGGTAAAGGGTGTGGAGATTAGAAATTGAAAGGGCACAACCTGAGAGGGCTTTGGATCCCATGACAGAATTGCAGCCAACGCAGGCCCAACCCAGGACAGATAGAAACCAAGTCAGAAAGGCCTGGGAATACCTTCATTCCTGCTGCCGCTGCAGGGCCACTGGGATCCACAGCCTGGATGTGGCATGGCTTACTTCCTCTTACCACAAAGCCCCAGCCAACCGCATCGCCAACAATCTAGAGAAGAAAACCACAATTAGCAATCGGCAGGCAGTCCCTGGCAATTTGCCTGTCCTGCCAAGAGACAGAAAACCAGCACAGGATTAAGCATGTGCCATGACACATCTTTCTCCACTTCCTCGCCACCTTGTTAAGGGGATGGAATACGTTGCTTCTATCATGAGAGCAGGCAGAGCTCCGTGGAAAATGTGGTTGAGAAACAGAACCTGTTTGGCAGAAGGAAGTTGCTTTTGGGAGGGCACTACTCAATAAATAATTGGCAGACTGCCTCTTTCTTAGGCTGCTCGACGAGTCAATATCAAAATCTAGTAGAAGGTTTAGAAGATCTTAAAAACATGGTTGTAATTTCTCTCCAAATCCAATCTCTACCCCAAGTTTGTCTTTTCCATCTGGATCCAAACGATACACTATTATCTAGCTATGTCACTCATGTCTGGAATAACATTTTAAATTACTAATAATGAGAAATATGAAGAGCCTAGTATTTCTTGAAACAACTTTCTATACCAAGAAAATAAAGTGATCCAGGCGCAGTGGCATGCACTTGTAATTCCAGTGCTGCTGAAGACTTCCACAGGAGGATTGCAAATTTGAGGTCACCCTGGGCAACTCAGAGAGACTGTCTCAAAAGAGAAAAATAAAAAGGGCTGGGAATATAGCTCAGTGGTAGAGCACCTCTGTGTTCAATTCCCAGTACCAACAATAGAAACAAAGAAAGAAGGGAAGAGAAAAAGGAGGTGAAAAGGTACATAAAGTTCTCAATTCATAAGTAGACTCCAATCCAAAAGTTATTTTAGAAATAGTACATAAACTTTTCCTATAGAATCACTAATATAATTGGCAGTTACATTCCCTGGGGGCTCTAAGACTCATCCTTAACATATACGTTAGTTGAAATACAGATGAAACACATTCACAATCAATTACTAGCAATGCTGGCATAAAACTAAAAGCCTAAAACAAATACAATCCACCGTCTCTTCAAAGCTGGAGACTGAGGAAAGCAGGAATTTGGTGGAAATTCTCAAGATTCTTAATCACTTTAGCAATTTTAGGGTTTGCTATTATTTCGTTTATTATACAAAATTTCACTCCCAAATGCCTTTTCCCTGAATACAAATATATATCACTGCCTTCTCATGTTAAGTCCTCCAGCTCAGCAACAGAAGTAGCCACCAAAAAATGTTTGCATTATGTATGATTGTGGAAAGCTTGTGTGTGTGTGTGTGTGTGTGTGTGTGTGTGTGTGTGTGTGTGTTTCTCTACCTGAGGTAATGGAAAACAAGAGGAAAGAGAAGTGTATAAGAGGAAGTTGATGTAGACGTGAGGAATCTGAAAGGAAGGGGATGGGGGGAGGTGCTGTCAATCAGAAAACTTCCACATTCTGAAGAAAACCTCTGGGGCTAGAGGGAGGCAGAGTTAAGGCTGCAGGGCCTTTCCCCAGTAGGTCTTCAGGAGCCCCTCACAGCCACACAGGGCCCCAAATTAGATGCCTTCACAACTGGGGGTTTGCTGATATTGTAAAAGGCACCACTCTTTACAGTGGAACAATTTATTCGATTGTTCCCTTTTTCTACCTTAAGACTCTCCTACTGTCTTCAGTGATTTTTAAAATTAAGTGTAATGCAGAAGAAATTGTGGGCATTATTTGCACTACCATTTGTCTTAGAATTCCATAATTACATTAGCATAAGTGCATCATGGAAATCTCTTTTTAAAAGACATATCAAAAATAACTTAAGATACCAAAATACTATGTGAATAACAAGTGAATCATGTAAAGACCTAAGGTGCTTTATGTTTTAGTGTCTTAGTGTCAAAAAAAAAAAAAGCCTACTTTCATAATATGGAAAGCAGGCTGTGCCCTCTCTGAGTTATTTCATGATGTATAAAACAGCAGTGTTCAGGCTGGGCCTAAACCTGAGCTGCTCCATTTTGCAGTCTGCCATAAGCTACACAATGTTGAGTCTAAGTGCTCAGTAGAATGTCTCTATACCTTGTTTGTACAAACAGACAAACATAAAACAACCATAAGCCAAAAACTGATAAATTAATCACACTAATAAAAATGGCTACCTGTGGCCTCATCAAATTAATCAGAAGCACATGGACAGGTGTATCAAACTCATATGGGGGAAAAATAAAACAGGCTCATGAGCTTATCAAATACCCCAGACTTTTACTACTGAATGAAACAGCCCCCTACTTGAGGCCCAAAAAGGAGAAGCACCCTGAGTCTGGTCACGACAGCACCCTTTTCCTGTCACCTGTCACTTGTCCTAAGCTTGCCCAGGAAAACTCACAGTGATGAACCTCTGAATCTCTGTCCTTGGACTTCAGCAGAGCAGTTTCTCCTGCCAGTGATCACCATGCACACCCACTCCAAGCTAACATCTCAAGCTGACACTGTGAACCTGCTGTCCAGGCAGACCTTGGCCTAGCATAAGTTCCTGTGCTTTGACAGTTCTGCATCCCGACCACCTCCACTGACTCTTTGACTCTGCATTCATGTCTCTGCCTTTGCTCTCAGTGCAGCCTCCTGAACCCCAATGGCTGCCTTAACTTCTTCTTGACCTTTCTGTAAACTGTATATATAATTGTATAAAGTATAACTTGAGTGTTACAGATACTAGAAACTTAGAGTAAAAGAACCTGTGATCTCCTGGCTTATGACTACCAGGTGACCCACAAATATTCAGTGAACTGCCACTGATCAGCTGGTATAGCCTGTGAATTTACTGTTATTCAATAAATTGTGATATTCTTGAAAGACACGAATGTGTTTTGTTTATGTTAACACAGTTTGCTCACAACACATGTGAAAAACAAAGGAAATTTAGGACAAGTTTTCAATTCAGTCCATGAGCTACACATCAACATGTTGACATGACAGAAAAATGAGTATCACAGGAGAAAAAACAAGGCATAAGCCTACCGTGAACGTCTTCCTTGCGTATGGTGCCCCAGGAGTCAGGAGCTCCTCAGAAGTGACTGGCCTCTTGAGCACTGAGAAGCAGACACAGGGTCAGGGAATGAGTACCTGGAAGTCCTTCCTTCATTCATTCAGCAGATACTTACTGAACACCTGTTACGTGACCATCAGTGAACTACAGTGGCCAGGTCCCTGCCCCACTGTTAGTAATAAAATATCAGCAAACAAGTAAACCTAAACCCACCCACAGAGCTAAGGAGTTGGTGGGTAGCCAAAGGAATAGAAGCAGAAGGGACAAAGGACAGGGTCGAAGTTTTCCTATAAAGGAAAATGTCATGTTTTCTATTTTTCCCATTTCTCTCTTATAAATCTATTATGCATTTATATGTTTCAAAGGTAGGAAAAAATAGCTCCAGCAGTCTGAGAGTCAAGCTTTAAGCACTAACCAGATCCAACCCCATTCCCACACTGCCCTTGTCCCATGCATTAAAGCTCCTACTCATCGGGCTGGGGATGTGGCTCAAGCGGTAGTGCACACGCCTGGCATGTGTGCAGCCCAGGTTCGATCCTCAGCACCACATACAAACAAAGATGTTGTGTCCGCCGAAAACTAAAAAATAAATATTGAAATTCTCTCTCTCTCAAAAAAAAAAAAAAAAAAAGAGCTCTACTTATTTCCTAAATAACATAGGAACACAGGGCTACATATAATACTGCCTCGTGCCCAGAGTGATAATACTGGTGAATTTTTCTGAGAATTCAGCATGTCCTGAGTATAATGCTAGGTAACCCATTATTCAGTTAATTATTACAAGAGCTAATGAGTTAGGTTCGTCAGTATCCTCATTTTATTTGTGAGAAAACAAACCTAAAATAGTTAAAGTATTTATGGCCAAGGACCTAAAGCTAATTATCAGCTTCCAGAATTAGAACCAAAGTCAGATGTTGACTGTCCATGCCCACACTCTCAGCCACTGTGTTACACTGACCCCTTGCACTATGCTGTCTTGTAAGTAGACAGAAGGGCTCAGAAGCTCTGGAAGACAGTGGTGTGGTGTGGTGTCTGTGGTGTCTATTCATCCTAAGATGTCTGTTTTCAGCGGCTCACCTGTTGCTGTTGCCTACCAAGATGGAAAAGCCAGCAGCCAAATCCTGACCAGCCAGCTATAAAAAAACACCCACAAATAACTTTATCATCTGTTGTATGCCTATTAAGAACTGGAGAAAGGATTTCCCCTTCTTTCTAGAATAGTTGATCGGGGACAGAGACCATTCTAGTTTATATGAAAATCAGGGACTTAAGTGCCACAAGGAAATGGAAAGTGCCAGAGCCAGGCCAGCCTGGACAAGTGCCAGCTCTAATTCCCTTTGCAAGTGGCAACCAGAGGTCAGACACCAGCCCTGCACAAGTGGGCAGGAGTGTGGGGCAAGGCATGTGTGATTTCCAAGCAGCTGGGTCTTGTCTGTTGGGTGCAGCCCAGGCCTAACAAGATCTCTCAGTTAAAGGCAGTGAAATGCTTCTGCGGAGATGACAGATGGCTGAGATTACTACTTTTGCTCTCAGAAGCTTATAAAACAGCAAATGATTTTATGTTCACTAAACAAAAGGGAGTAGGTTAAATATCCAGCTGGGAACAGAATCTCTCAGTAGATGGAAAGGAGATAAGAAAAGTGGTCCATGTTGGAGGGCTGAGATATTTTTTAATCCTCCATGCCCCATAAATCCTCATGGAGTTTATGAATCTGAATACAGGACACCCTCACACTGACCATTTATTTTAATGTACTTTATTTCTTTATTACTTTGAAAAACTAGAAACTTTTGAGGCTTGAAAAAATATCCTTAGAGTCCTTTTTACATATCCTTGGAAGATAACATTTTAGCAGGATACTGATTATGGTCATAATAGCTATAGTTTTTTGGGCAGAATGTCTGGCTTAAGGCATTTTTTTTAATAAACTACCAAAAATACATATTGATGTTTCTGGGTGGTTAATTTTAAATTCTTTACTTTGAAGGCCTGTTTATCTGCTTGAGAAAAAAAAAAAAAAGATCATAGATGAGCTCACAAAGTACTGGCCACCTTCACAAGGGTGAAGGAGAAGCTTGTCAGAATATGGGTAAGAAGTGAGATGCAGGAGCCACTACTGCTCCAGGCCTCAGGGACTCAAGAAAGGCAGCTTCCTCTTCTACCCACTTGTCAGTGAATTCTTCCCTCTGATCTGGGTGCAAGGGGAAAACAGGAAATAGTATAACCCACCTGGGAGCACACAGATGTGTTGCTAATTTAAATAATTAACCCTTTGCTCATATTTTATCATATGCAATCAAAAAAATAAATATCCAGCCTTGGTGGCACCCCCCTGCAATATCAGCTGAGGCAGGAGGATTGTAAGTTCGAGGCCAGCCTCAGCAACTTAGTGAGACCCTGTCTTAAGTAAAAAGTAAAAAAGGCAGTGAGTGTGCCTCAGTGGTTAAGCACCCCTAGGTTCAATCTCTGATATATAAAAAAAAAAGTTTTTTAATCTACCTATCCATCTGTGGGTGGGGGCTGTGGATGTAATTCAGTGGTAGAGCACTTGTTTAGCATGTGCAAATATATACATATGTATATACACAAATATAAATATATGTACATACACACACACACAAATATATATGGAAAAATGGAGATAGCATGACTGTCCTTTTTTTGAAACTGAGATCTTTTGCTTTTAACTTTGAGGAGGCCTTTCAGGCTTCTACCCAGTTTTCAAATATCCTCCTTCTTCTTTTATTATTGTTCTGGGGATGGAACTCGGGGCCTAGCACACACTAGACAAGCCCTGAATATCCTTTTTCTAGAAAGTCCTTCTCGTTTCTCATTCTCCCTTATAAGCACACTCCAGTAACAGCAAAACATAGTAGAACATGGGTATTCAATAATTTTGCAGCCAAGACCAGGATGGAAGCAAGTTTCTTCATTTGCTTGCAAGTTTATTCTTGCCACCAGTTCTCGGGAAGGCAGAGAAACAAAAGTGAGATCAGGAAAAGCAGCCACCTTCCCAGACAGTAGCATTGGATGACAAGTTCCTCTTTAAACCTTTTGAACAACATCTTTTAGCCCTTCATCTTATTATGTTTTGATTTTTTCCTCCACGGGGATGAAGTGCTCGTTGAGCTAAGGGGTCATGGCCTCTCGTCTCTGTATCCCCAACATCTGATGCTGGGGAAACATGAACAGAAGGAACAAAGTCCCCTGAAAGGACACACTGAAGGGAAGGTGGAAAGTGCACTGAACAACTGGAGTTGAGGATGTTCTCAAGTGATGACTATAATGGTGTCATACGCCAGCTCATCCTGGGAAGAACAGTGAGGACCGGGCAGGTAGGGGGAGTGAGAAAGGGGTAATGTGGATGGATGGCAGGTTCCTGGGTGATGAGGTCAAGGGAGGATTGTTTCTTAGTATAAGTTCAACATTCTTTGAACCTGCATTTTTTTCCCAGGTATTCAGAGACCATAGAGGTCAATGAGTAGATTTTAAAAGTGTAAGGCACCCGGGAATTCCAGAGACAGGTGGATTTGCATAGATCCATTCTTCCTTAAGAGCATAAGCCTTCCTCCAGCCTGGGGAAGCGCTGTTTCTCCTATAGTGAGCAGCTGCCCCTCAAAGGCTGAGGGGCTCCTCCCAGCTGCTGGGAGAGCTCACAGCAGATGGCCCTCAGCTGTCTTTGGGAACCACTTCTCTGAAGAGAGTAACACTGGCCAGTCATGGCTTCCTCTCTGGGATAGCAACGTTTAAAATCTGGTTAACTTGTGGGTGGGTACAAAAGCCCAGCCCTCTCAACACAACTCCATGTGACTCTACGGGGCCACCCAGTGCAGATTTTCCACTGGGGTCCAATGCAGCCTTCACTGAGACTGACTCGCCATCTAATTTCTCCTCTGTCCAGTTCTACTCTCTCCCCTAAGAGCCAGCTCTCACAAGATTCCTGCAGTCTCCCTCCATTTCAGGGAGACTTGTTCACCAGGGAACCCAGCCTGCACATCTGTCCCAGTCCCCATAGTCAGGAGCAGGACCGCCTTTCGTGAACTCACCAGATTTGGGGTTGCAGAGCACAGGGGGGCTGCTGCTGAGGGTGGGGCTGCTACTGAAGTAGCCGCTGCTGCCACAGCTGCTCATGCTGCTCCTCCGCACCGCAGACACGATCTTGATCTCCTTGCTGGGGCTGACTGCAGAAGGGAAGACACACACAGTCATCCGGGGGGCCATCTGGGTTCCCTGGAGCACCCACGCTTCTTTCAGAGGCAAGGTACAGCAAAGCAAGGCACGTTGGCCAGGAAAACACACCCTGGCCTTGGAGTCAGAAAAGCAGGAACTTGGGGGGCAGCTCTGCCCACTTACAGCACAATTTGGCCACTGTCTTCAGTTCTCTGAGACTCGATTTCCCTGATGTAAAGTAACCATGTGAGCTCACAGGGTTAGTGCAAGCAGAAGGATTATAGAATGTCCATGAAAGTATGATATTATTTCAGGAATGACCAAACCCAAGCGTTCCTGGCCAGGGTGTAAGTTCAGTGCTGGCTACACGTGTGATAAATAAACAGTGATGGTAAATGCCTCCTGGTTTCATATCAAACCATTAATCATTCAGAGTCATGAGAGAAGGGGCTTAAAAGACAGAGCACATATTCATACTTTCAAAGTGTTACAGGAGGCAGTGTCTCAAATTTTCTGATTTGGTTCTTCCTGCTGTGGAACAGGCTGGCTCTCAAGCAGGGGAAGGGCCACAAGTGAAAGAAAGAGGCTATGGAGAGCACTCTGCCCACTGCCTGGCACAAGGAAGCAAAAAATAAATCTAGCTTTCTGGGGGACTATGATGACTACAGCCTCCTTCTCAACAGCATCATGTGTTCGAGTCTGCTGGGGCCTCTTGAGGAACAGGTAAACCTTTGTACCAGTGCAAAAGTGAACTCTTAACTCTGCATTTGCATTAGGCTACAACCTTCAGAAAACACACAACTTTAGGTGTCCTTTAAGTCTGGCCAGGCTGACCTTGGAGCACAGGCTTAGGCTGCTGATCTTTGGCTAGCTTTTATTTTCCCTTCACAGCTCTTGCTCCAGCCCAGCAATGTCTGAGGAACCAGGTATGCCTGGGGCTTAGGTCAGGGCCAGCAGAAAGTAAACATCGGAGCCAAGAGAACTCCATCCGCCTCTTCAAACCCTGGGTAAGCCACTCAATTCCTCTCTGCCTGTACAACCAAGATATGAAAAATCCTCATAGGTTTGTGGTAACAATTAAATGAGAAAATTCACACGACCTATCTTGTTTCAGTACCTGGGACTTAGAAATATCTCTGCACACACTTGTAAGTGTTCTCAGTCAAATCCTACCCAGAATCAAGACAGGACGCTTCCGTTGGTGCTAGAGGAGGCCCAGTACTTCCAGACCTTCAGCCAACAAGTCCCTTGAGTGAAAGCCAAGTTTTCCGAGAAGTTGAAAACACCCCTTTAAGCATCTCACCCTCTTAAACAAAATGACACTTTCTTCAAGTTCACCTTTTCTAAGTTATCTTTGTGGATATCAATCACCACCACTGGTGACATACAATTAGTAACTGAAAACCCGAGACAGCTTGATTTTACACATTATCACAGGTTGTGTGCTTTATGAGCTCCTGCTGCTGCTTTTCCTAGTTTTCTTTGTGTTGCCTCTTGATGATGGGTTGACAATCAGTTGCCTTTTAATCGTTTTTTTGTGTACACACATATATAAGTCCTTTATTTGTCCTTAAAATGGCCTTTTAAAGTCAAGGTTTAGAAAACCTAGTCATTCCAGGGTATGGTGGTGCACATCTGAAATCCCAGCAGCTCAGAAAGCTGAGGCAAGAAGATTGCAAGTTCAAATCCAGTCTCAGCAACTTAGTGAGGCCCTGAGCAACTTAGCAAGACCCTTAAAATTAAAAAAAAAAAAAAAAAAAAAAGAGGCTGGGGATGTGGCTCTGTGGTTAAGCACCCTGGCAAACCCAAGTACCAAAAGAAAGGAAGGAAGGAAGGAAGGAGGATCATTGATGACATATAATTGTGAGCCAGGTGTGGTGGCACATACCTATAATCCCAGTGACTCAGTAGGTTGAGGCAGGAGGATTACAAGTTTTGAGGCCAGCCTTGGCAACTTAGAGAGGCTCTAAGCAACTTAGGGAGACCCTGTCTCAAAATTAAAAACACAAAGGGCTAGGGAGGTGGCTCAGTGGCAAAGTGCCCCGAGTTCAATTCCTAGTATAAAAAAAAAATAAAAAGATAAAAAAAGGAGGAAGAAGAGAGTTGTTTGTAAATGAAAAGTAAATAAGGCATGAATGAGCTTGAGTGATCTTCTCTAATTCAAGTACATAATTTCACAAAACAGACTTCATGCTATTTAAGCCTGAGAACAACTTGTTTTTTGCTTTTTGTTTTGTTTATTTGCATACTTCTTGGTTATTCTTAAATAAAAAATCTGCTGGAGAAACAGTTTCACAAAGAAGAATTATTATTCTACCATTTCTCATAAGGCAAATACAGGTTCACATACATCATGGGACCGGCGTACCTGACATGAAGCTGGTAGATTTCCGATTGTCGTGGCTCTGCTTCCTCAGGCAGAAGGGGCTGTCATGAGCCTCCTGGGAGGAGGGGGACTTTTCATTGAGAAGCTCCATCAGTCTTCTCCTCCGACGGAAGTTCATTCTGAACTGGTAGAGAAGATTGCTGTCCACAAACGGGTGCTTGTTGGACACTGGGGGAGAAGAAAGAGCCGGTGAGGATGCCTGGCATCCTGGCCACCCAGCACTGCAGCCAGAAGCCAGAGGATGCCGACAACAGAGGAAGAGGCCTCTAGAAAGAGGTTAGTTCTATAGCTACCACATGGGCTTGTGGTCTCTCCACAATGTGCAGTCCCAAATTGCTTCCATGTGTCATGCACTTTAAAAATTTGCTAAGCTGTTCCTCAGGGAAACCTTCCCTGACCTCACCCCCAACTTGAGCTCTTCTCTTCAAGGTGGTCTGCTGGCCCCTGTATCCCCTTCATCACCGCACTGACTGCCCTACACTGTCCTTGTCCACTTTCTCCCTGTTTCTCCCCCTAAACACTAGGTTATTTGGGGCAGTGATCGTAGCTTCCTTTGCTAACCTTGGTGAAGTTTAGTCATGACAGTGATAACAGTCGTTCACTTACTACAGGCCATTTTACTAAGCACTTTATGAGACAATTTCATTTTCTTTTTTTTTTTTTTTCATTTGCAATGCTGGGAGTTGAACCCAGGACCTGGTGCATGATGCTAGGCAAGTGCTCTACCACTGACCCAGAGCCCCAGCCTCATGATCACTTGCAAGGTAAATGTGACTGTTCCTTTTTTTTTTTCCTTCCTTCCCTTAATTTCACTGTGGAAAAAAATGAGACTTAAATGGGTTTAGTAACTTGCCCAAGGCCACATTGCTACAACTTCTGAGCCCAAATCAACATGGGCCACACGTTGACAGAGTTGTATAAGTCACAGGCCACAGATAGTTGGAAAAGACTAAAGTGATGGTAAAATGTCACCTTCTCCAACATTCAGTCTTCTGGTTCATCATGGAGTGTGTTGTCACATACATACCTAGTGACTGTGACACCATATTGTCGTGTAACAAGGGTTTTCTGGGGGTGGGCAGAGGGTGAGCACATCTTTTTCCCCAACTAAGTCACTCTGCCTGAGAGCCCAGACTGGCTTAGCCACTCTGTCATCCTCAAATCCTAGACTATCATATATGCTTAGCTCAGGGAAGGTGCTGGACCAATGGTTGAAAGAGATTCGAGCATGATAGGTAAGAAGGATGAGCACCAGGCACATAACAGTGCTGACTCTGAACCCTTTTGCAGCCGTCTGTGCAGGAGTTCCACCCAAACCAATCTGTGTGCCCCTGTAGTTCCTGAAGGGCTTGCTGAGCCTTGGGGAGAAAGGACAGGAAGGACAAGGCATTTGGTTTTTCTAGTTTGAAGGCTTTCCTTTGCTCCAAAATTATACCAGGACTACATTTTTATTGTCCAGCATCTATCCATCTACGTAGCTAACAGGTATGGAATTAGGCAGACTATAAGTCAGGTACTTTTCACACCTAGTGTTTCACAAAATGAGGGAGAAAAGATAAAATTTTTTAAAAATACTCATTAATGGCAACTTTTTTTAAAATTGTGAGATTAAAATTCCATAAACCACTAGGAAAATAATCAAATGTAACCTAGTACAATTCACATTAACCACTTAATCAATAATGCTAACTTCTTCACGCCCTCCTTTGGTGTTTCATGAACATTATTTACATCCTCTCTAGGTCAACACCAAAAGTGCAATCTAGGGTTGTAACTGTAATTGTTACCCACATTTGTTAATGTATATGTATGCTGGTTAAACATTAATCTTGGAGTTTAAATGTGAATGATGGAATGGAAATTGAAACGGAAGAATAATTTATTAGCACCTTTAAAGCCAATGCCAGTTCGTAAAATGCCTTGGGTTTACAAGGCACTTGATCCGAGTCTCAGAATTCAAGATCCCTGTAATGAGAATATTCCGGCCAACATTTAACCTAATGATTCATATGGGTGATTCACAGTCTTTAAATAATGATAAACTATTCACTTTGGTCAAATGAATAATATTGGCCTTAAAGAAAGATACATTTAATTCAGTGGTAATTCTACATGTTCTCAGTAAATAATCTATTGTTGAGTCACAAGATGCTCTCCTAATGCTATCTGGACCAAGAAATAAACCAATTATACTTTGATGTGATCTCTACAATTACTGCTTCCCTTGTTCACAGTCAGATTTTAACATAAATTTCCATCACAACACTGAGTGATACTATAATAAAAGTTTAGAGATAAGTTATTTATTTTTGTCCATATTTTCTGAATTTATTGATTTAAAAAACCCTCAAGCTGACTTTAGCAATGACATCTTAAATTATGACCTGCAAATACACAGATCTCTATGTATATACTTATTAATACCTACTATTTTCTCTTGGCACAGTGTATTACATAAAAGTGTTGGCTCTGGTATAAATAAATCCTAAAAAATAGTCTGAATACAAACAAATTCCATAACAGATGAAAGTATATTAAAAGTATTTTTTAACTGCAGTGGAAATTCGCCTGCTAATCTAATCATGTGTCTCCTCCAGCTTTAATTACCAATCTAGTGTTTAATTCCCAGTCTCCATACTCCACCTCCTCAGCTCTACACCATCTGCAGCCAAATGGAAAACATACTGTCTAAGATAAAGAGACAGGGTTAAATTTAAATAATCTTTAATCATCACATATTGCCAAACAGATTGTAAGAACCCAACAAATTGCACTTTAATTATTTTACAACCACTGTTGTTGTTTTTACTGTTATCATTTGCTGATGATACACTGCCATTTGGCTTATGAAAATTCAATTTTAGAAGCCACTACACTGAATGCCCCGCTTCAGTTTCCAAAGACTGACTTGAGTTTCAATGCCGCAGGAGCAGCCACTGTCCCTCTGTGAAACGAAGGTCACCATGGGTTCATCCACCCAGCTGTGCGTCTTGGCACGAGTCAAGTTCTCCTCTCAGTAGAGGAGGGACAGGTGCACAAATCGCCTGCATTACTGTCAATACTTAATTTTGCCTTGAAGGTATTCTTTATCCTTTCTCTCTCATTAAAAGTTTAACGTGAGTTTCATGCACTTGCTTTGTGTAAGTAACTGGAAGATGGAACATGTGATTGTAGCTTCAAAAGTTGAAGGAGTGCAGGTTGTCAGCTGTATCACAGCCTCAATAAATCACACCAATTCACTGACTCCACAAACCAGTGCTAAGTGCTGCTAGAGTCACACATGGTCCCAGCTGTCTATCTCAGCACTGTGATCAAGAGCGATCTGCCACTGGAAAGCTCATTAACACCAAAGTCTGCTGAAAGAGACACTATTTCATATCAAAACAAAACAATTAAACCAGGCCTTTACTGAAAACTCCCTTATGCTAAATAAAGTCTTACAAAATAATACCTCTCCATGAAGAACTCAGGTTTTATAGTCAGACAGTCTTGGTTTCAATCCCAGTTCTGCTGAGTAGCTGAGTCAGTGATTTGGGCAACTTATTAAAGATTTCAAATTTCAACTGTTTTCTGCACAGTTTCTATAGAAAGAAGAAATGGGGTAACTCATGCAAGAGATATGGCACGGCAACTAATATATGGTATTTTCTTTCTCTATATGGTGTTTTCCTTCTCTTTCTTTTCTTGTTTTCTTTTGGTGGTGCTGAGCATCACACCCAGGCCCTTGTGCATGTGGGGAAGTGCTCTGCCACTGAGTTCCATTCCCAGCCCAACTTACAGGGCTTCACATGTTCTTTGTCTTAAAGACTTCCAGCCTTAGATCATTAGGTTCCTTTACAGAACCCATTTCCTTTCTTCTCTGACCTTCTTTCAGAGAACATTTTGCCCTTCTCTCATGTGCAATTCTATCACCTATGATGCATGAAAAATATGATCTCCTAACTGGACATCCAGATCAAGTTTAGCAAGAATCCCACTGAAGATATTTAAAGTTCTGAAGTCAAAAGAAATAAAGGAGTATGTTAAGACACAATAAGCTTAGTAAGCTTCTTAAAAATATTAAGAAAGACAAACATTTCTTTGATAATTATAATTTACATAAGCAGAGATCCAAGAAATAACAATGGGTAAATGTAATCGTTTATATTCCAAATAGAGAAAGTTAATTCTGTCTACATTTCAATGTGATATTCTTCATGTTTAATACAAAAAATTATTTACTATACAAGCTACTTAGCCTTTTAAAATAAAGAAAAAAATAATGCATGATCTAAACAAAAAGAGGGAAGAAAAAAAATCAAGCAGAACAGTTCACAGGTGACTCTAAATCTTATAGGTGCTCCCGGTCTCCATTTCTCAGATTCCGGTATTATGGAAGATCTTAATATTATAGTAAATGTTGCAACATATACGGTTTGGTAAGTTTTATTCTTTGCTTTTTAGCACTATTCATCTCTAAACAGGAGACAATGAGAAGAAACACATGTTCGAAGCCCACATTCAATGTCCAGTTGTGATCTTATCAACAGCTATAATTAAAAACAAATTTTGTATGGGGCTGGGCTTGTGGCTCAGTGGTACAGCACTTGCCTAGCGTGTGTGAGGCACTGGGTTCAATTCTCAGCACCACATATAAATAAGTGAATAAAATAAAGATCCATCAACAACTTTTTTTTTTTTTAGGAAAAAAACTAATTTGTTACTTGATTTATAATTTCTGGGACATCCTTTGCTTTGGTGGAATTCTCTAGAGGTTTGACTTGGGATATGAAATAGGGAAGGCAGACATAGCCAGAAAGCCGAGGCCATGTAAACAGAGAATTTTACTGCTTAGGATGTGTGGGGCTCTGGAAACACTGAGCTCAGGTTTGTTTAAAGAGAAACAGATCCCTGCTGACTGGATGTCTTGACTTACAGAAAGCATGAGGGAGATGTCATTTGGTCTACCAAAATAATGATGATACAGTACAGATGTTTTCTTTTCTCACGTGTGATAAGCTATCAATCAGGGTGATCCTAGCAGATATAAAGAAATTTTAAAAAGCTGAGGCTGTAAGAGGGGGGAAATCAGCTTCCACTGCATTCACATGTAGTCTAAGGACAAAGATAAAAAAAAACTCACCTTGAGCTCTACAGGTTCAGCTGAGTATAAAAGACATTTTAGGCTA